ATAGTCTTACACCACAACTCAAAAGAATCAATTCTTCTGTCCTCTTTGGCCACTGTCTCGCTCTCTGATGCCTAACAGGTAATTGTGAAGACCATGGTCTGGATCAGATGCACCTTAGTCTCTAGTCTGAAGACATTGTTCTTTAGCACTCTGAAGAGATCCCTGATAGCATATTTTCCTAATGTAATTTGTCACTTGATTTCCTGACTGCTGATGCCAAGAGTGTTGTTGACTGTGCAACCAAGTAAGCTGAAATTGTTAACAATCTCAATCTCGTCTCCATCTATCATGTTGCTGTCAATTGGCCCAGTGGTGAGAATATTTGCTTTCTTGATGTTGAGTTTCAATCCATATTGTGAACTATAGTCCTTGACCCTCTGCAACAAAGTCTTCAGGCTCTTCTTAGTTTCAGCAAGCAAAAGCGTGCCACCAGCACAAAGCAGGTTGTTAATAAGTCTTCCTCTAACCCCGATGCTACATTCCTCCTCATAAAGTCCAGCCTCCCGAATGATTTGTTCCACATATAGACTAAAAAGATAAGGAGACAGGACGCATCTCTGACGCACTCCCTTCCTGAGTTTGAACTATGTAGTAAGAGCACATACTGAATCCTAAACCTGCACACTAGGTATATTACTACAGAGACTGTGCTATATGGTTCCCTGCTTTGATGTCTCATTAAAGGAATGCAACTAGACACATGGGAAGAGATTTAAAAATAATTAAAGGTTAGACACGATTAAATAATAAGTGTGGGAGAAGACTGCCAGACTGGTGGGTGTTTGAGGTTGTACAATCTTTCTGTTGGGAATGAGTACACACTTGAAGTTACGAAGAACCATTGCAAAAGATATTTATTTGGGTTAAAGTTTCAAACTCCAAATGTTAGCAGAAGATATCACTATGTAGTTAAACTACAGGTGATTTTTCTTTTCTGTTGCTGTTAGTTCCCTATTTTCACAAGTTCTTTAATAAACATATGTTACCTTTATCCTTTCCCCCCCCCCAAAAAAAAATCTCGCTAAAGGATTCAGAGAAATAGCAGCTCAGATGCTTTGCTGGTAAGAATGCCAAATGGTCCAGTCACTGTGGGAAACATTTGGTAATTTCTTAAAGAGTTAAATATACACTTATCATGTGAACCTATCCTGCTCCTGTCTATTCCCCACTTAAAAAAAACAACAACATCTACCTCTACACAACAACTTGTAAACAAATTTTAAAGCCCTTTAAAAAAATAATGATCATAAAATACTTTTAAATAATCCAGATATCCTTCAAGCAGGGAACTGGTAAAGTGGAGTCATCCATACCACAATGTATATAGCTCAGAGACAGAGAGGAGAGAACTGAACAAATATGTGAGAGACAAAAATGAATCTCAAATGTAATATGTGAGTGAAACAAGTCAGACTTGAAATTTGCATGATGCATGATGCATGATTATATTTATTTACATGACATTCTAGAAAAGGCAGCTTTATGGGAACAGACACTTGATCATCAGTGGTTTCTAAGGGTTAGAAGCTACAGGAAAACTTGATTTGTAAAAGGGCAGCACATGAGAGTTTGGCTGTTTTATGGAGGAGTCTCTTATCTAGATTATGGTGCTAGATATAGTCTGTTAATAAAACCAACCTCAAACTCACTGACATAGGAGAGTGAAGAGTCATAGCAGCTCTCCACTGGGTTTCCCTTTAATCTGCAAATATTAAGGGGAGGAAACCGTACACCTTTCTGTTGTGGAGTCTTTGGTGGATTCTAACTATCAAAGGCACGGTCTTTTGGTTACCAGCTCAGTAAACTCCAGACTACTCTATACATTGTATTTTTATACACCAAAGGGGAGCTCTGGTGACATAATCTTTAGAGCCTTGAACTAGTAACCCAAAGGCAGTGCCTGCTGGTGGTTCAAATCCACCAAAAGGTCCATTGAAAAAAGATGAGCAGTCTCCTCCCCTATGATTTATACCCTCTGAAAACACTGGAGGGCTGGCCAGCAGCTCTGTACCCTTCCCTGTCCTGAGCCAGTCTCACTGATTCTGACACATCAAACCCCATCGCCCAGTTACTGTATCAATCCGTCTCATCTGGGGTCTCCATCTCCTGTGCTGTCCGTCCACCCTTGATGTCCTTCTCCAAGGACTGATCTCTCCTGGCCACATGCCCAAAGTAAGTGAGGCAGGGCTTCAAAATCCTAGCCTCCAAGGAGAGACCTGGTTTCACCTTCTCAAAGTACAGACCTATTTGTTTTCTTGGCAGTCCATGGTATGTTTAAGACTCTTCTCCAGCACCACAACACAAAGGCATCTATTCTTCTTCTGTCATCCTTAGTCATTGTCCAGCTCTCTGAAGCATAACAAACAATTGAGAAGACCATGGCTTGGATTAGGCGCCCCTTTGTATCTAGATGGACATTGTTGCTCTTCAGCACTCTGGAGAGGTCCACGACAGCAGATTTTCCCAATGCAATTAGTCTTTTGGTTTCATGACTGCTGGTGTTAATTAAGAGTGTTGATTGTGTATCCAAATAAGCTGTAATGACTAACAACCTCAATCTCTTCTCTATCTATTAATGGTGCTGCCAATTGGCCCTGTGGTGTCTTCTTGATGTTGAGCTTCAATCCATATGGAAGACTATAGTCCTTGACCTTTTGCAGCAAGTGCTTCAGATTTTCTTCCGTTTCAGCAAGCAAGGTTGTGTCATCTGCATAGTGTAGGTTGTTAGTGAGTCTTATTCCAATTTGAGCCACACTCCTCCTCATAAAGCCTTGCTTCCCAAATGATCTGTTCTGCAAAGGTACAGGGACAGGATACATCCTTGATGTACCCCTTTCCTGATTTTGAACCATGCAGGGTTTCCTTGCTCTGTTCTGAGGATTGCTCCTTGGTCCAAGTATAGGTTTCGTATAAGCATGATCAAGTGTTCTGAGATTCCCATTTTCCTCAAGGTTAGCCACAATTTATCATGATCCACACAGTCAAATGCCTTTGCATAGTCAATGAAACACAGATAGACATTCTTCTGGTACTATCTGCTTTCTTCCAAGATCCATCTGACATTGGCAATAATGTCTCTAGTGCCATGATCTCTTCTAAACCCAACCTGTATTTCTGGTAGTTCTCTGTCAATGTACTGTTCAAGTCTTTTCTGGATAATCTTCAGCAGGGTTTTACTAATGTGTGATATTAGTGACACTGTTCAATAATTTCCACACTCTGTCAAATCACCTTTTTTTGTAATGGGAATAAATATGGATCTCTTCCAGTCCACTGAATACTGATTCAACTAACTGGTATCTAACTTGGTCTTCCGTGCCTCTCACTCCCCAGCCTGGAGCTGTCCTGCACCACTGACTGTGTAAGACACGTGGGAGGAACTCAGTGGACACTCACATTGGTGCAACCCAGAATGGGGGCTACCGTTTACCAATCAGAAGTAGGAGGCTACGGATTAGTGCTTTCTTTTCTCCATTAGCCCCAGAACAAGAGTTCTAAAACATATTTTGAAAACCTGCTCAGTTGAGTCCTTGGGATTGAGGGCCAGTCACCAATTCGTGGTTGCTGCTGGGTGCTGCTGCGACAACTTTGACTCACGGTGTGTGACGAACTCTTGACTTTGTCATATCCTGCAGTATCCTCAACATCTCCCATGTACTCTTAAGTCACTGTCAATCCATCTTGTTGGAAGTCTTCCTGTTTTTTTCTGACCCTCCACCTTTCCCAGCATGATGGCTTTTACTGAGGACCAGTCTCTCCTGACAACATGACCAAACTACAGAAGATGAGGTTTCCCAATTCTTGACTTTAAGAAGCACCCTGGTTTTATTTCCTCCAAGACATACATAGTCATTCTTTTGGCAGTCTATGGGATAGTCCGTTTTCTTCTCCAAAACTGTAATTCAAGGGCATCAATTCTTCTTCTTTCATCCTTATTCACTGCTCAATTTTCAGATGCACAGAAAGTAACTGTGTAGTGGTGGCAATTTGATTACTCATCCTTCTCTATTTCACACTGCACATCCCAACGTCTCTGAACTCATACTTCCTAAAATCCTACCTACATCCCAGTATTCATCTCAGCTTCTGTTTTCTGGTGAACTCCAACCAATACGCTCAGGTCTTCAGCCATAGGGATTAATGGGCCATCTTTTTTGCCCCCCCTTCTTTTTTTTAATTGGTTTGCTTACAAAGTTCATGTACATTGGACTATTATTCTTTCATATTGTGTTTCATACAATTATTCTCATGCATTGTTTGTTGTTATGTGTCATCGAGTCACCTACAACTCATAAAGACCCTATGTACAACAGCCCTAAACTCTGCTCTACCCTGTGCCAATTTTATTGTCTCTGATACAACTACTCCCATTTCCCCAGTCACTGAATCACTCCATCTCATCGAGCATCTTCCTCTCTAATGCATTATGTTTTATAAAAGGAATCACCATTGGACCTTGCCCATCATTACCTTATCTTTTCACCTGGATCTGAATGGATCATCTCTTGAGGGGGATGACTCCAGAATATTTGTTCCTAGGAAAGTGTAGTTGGCCCAAATTCAGTCATATGCACTCTAGGGTCAAAGGGTATGGTATCTCACGCATCCTCCAATCCCAGTTTGAGATAATGAAGAACAATTCTCCACCGAGAATGAAGAGGTCAGAAATCAGGGACTGAGGAGGGCAATGATGTACTTAAAATTTGTTGGATCATGGTATCTTAGTGCTCTTCAAAGAGTGTGTTTTGGCGTTCTAATCTCTCATGCCTTAAGCAGGAGTTTCTTTTTCTTTAAGGAATCAACAGCTTGCTAAACTGTGGCTAGAATCTTAAAATAGAAAAAAATGTAAGCATGATGCAGATATGTGATGGTATTTGCTAGGAGACATTTCAGCTAACTCAAAAGTGGTATTTTGATGTAGAAAGCTCATACTTTAATAATTGCTAAAATACCCATTTTCATTTTTTCCTTGCCCTCACCCTCCCTTTGTCTCTGTCCAGGTTAATATCCAACACCGGTATTAAGCACTTGCCAGCTGTTCACAAGATTCAATCTCTCCGAAGGGTTTTACTGTAAGTTGGTGGGTTGTTGTTTGGGTTTTTTTCCCCCTCACCTGGTTTCCACCCTCTTACACAGTAGCTGTCTTCCCCAACAGCCTCTGGGTCTGAAATGTGGCTTGTACAATCCGCACCTTCCATATGTGTTGCTCTGGGTAACAGGTGAGCAGAGATAGGAAAGAAAGCAGCATATCTGGTTGCATCTGCAGGCCGGTTGCTATTAACTTGGAAGTTAACAAGTTAGGCTCCTCAGTAAAGGCCCCGCCAAGGGAGCCTGCTTGTGATATCACGAAGTCTCTCCTTTTCACGACGGATGTCACATGCTTTGAGCAAGTTGTCAGGAGAAGGACTAAAGGTAGCATGCTTGGAACAGCAGAGGGTGAGAGGAAGGGAGGGAGACCATCCGCAAGATGGACTGACAGAGTGACTGCAACGGCAGGCAGAAGCGTATCACAGACGGGGAGCACGCTTCAGGAGAGGGCTCAGATGTGTTGTTCACAAGGCTGCTAGGAATACAGATGATCTAAGACACCTAACAACAACATCAGCACGTCAGTAACCTAATCTGTTTACCTTCTCCTCAAGTGTCTACACTGTTAAAGAAGATGAGGGGAAAAGAACGTGTGGCCCAGAAGAAGAGGTGGGGAAGGGGAGAAAGAGCTTGGGGAGAAGTGACAAAGACACCGAACCTTCCCAGAATTTGTGACGTTGTTGTTTCTGAGGAGGGAATCGCTACAGAGGAGTCTGCCAGGAGGTGAAGGGGTGCACGCAGGAACAGGCGACAATGATGTGCTAGAACGCGAAGAATGCTGGAAACCAGAAACGAGTTGTAAGACTGGAGCTTCGATGGTAGGAAAAGGAAGACTCATGTATGGTACAAATAAGTTTTATGGAGGTGAACGGTTAGCTTCAAGGTCTTTTCCATATTGAGCAGGTATTCTGTGTAGAGGATAGAGGCTCGCTAAGAGATGAGTAGACACTCCATGTGGAAGACAGGAAAACATAGAGGATAGAGACTAAGAAATGGGCAGACACTCCGTGTGGAGGACAATGAAGAGGACAGAGATTCACTAAGAGATGAGCAGACACTTAGTGAGGAGGAGAGGACAATGTAGAGAATAGAGATTCACTAAGAGATGAGTACAGTGCAACCAGCTAAGAACACCTCCAGACGGAGAACCCATTGCAGGTTTGCAAGTCCATTTTTAAGAAGAATTCATGTACTAAAAAGAAATCAGAGGGCATTGTTGCTGAAAATGTCAATAAGTGCATTAAAATGCCAACATTGGTGAAAAGATCTTCACATGTTAAATAAATTAAAAGTGGGCAAGCCTTGTGAGTGAAGCTGACCATGGATGGACAACCCAGTAAGCAAGAGAAGCCTGGCCTTGCTGACTAATTTTTTTTAATTTTTAATTTATTTTAATCAAAGTTTACAGAGACTTTGGATTTCCATTCATTCATGATTGCACTTTTCTCTTCATTCATGATTGCACTTTTCTCCCTGCCCACCCCTCCCCCCGTTCATTTTCTTTATGAAAAGTAAAAGGAAAAATTATTTCATTGTTATTCAATCCCTCCCTCCCAAGTCCACTCCACTATGCAGCCTTCGTTCTGGACTCCTGTCATGACAATAATATCTAACCATAGTATCGCTTTAAAACATTTCTCTCCTGGAAATGGAGTACACATTATTTATCCCCTCTTTCTCACTTTCCCCCCAACCCTTATGTCAGTTCTCTTTTAAGCAATTTCACAAAGGTTTGAACCACAATGATGTGGTTAAAACATGTAAATCTGTGCACTGCAGATTAAGTCAACACAAGTAAGCCCATTGTTACCTTGCTTACTGGGTCCTCTATCTGAGTCAGGACCGGACATTTGAAAAGAGGTTTTGATTCTGTAGGCAGGTGCTGTGGGTTATGAGAGGTGCAATGGGGGGATAAATTTGTTCAAATGGCTTGCCTCCGGAAACTCTATGTACGAACAGTGCTCAGGCCGTTCATTCATAGGGTCGCTATGAGTCGTCTACGACTCGACGGCACCAAACAACAACAGATTAGTAAACGAACATACGTAAACTCGTGCTCACCTTGCTCAGTGGGTAATACGGCGCAGTGCCTAATTATCTAACATGTTGATAACTTTCTTCTAGAGACATTCAAGATAACATAAACATCCACACAATTGAAAAAAACTCATTCACTGGACTGAGTCGCGAACCTGTGATTCTGTAAGTCAGTGGGGGTGGGGCAATCCAATACGTCGGGTTTTTCACTTAATGGCCTTTTTCTAATAATGGCAGGTTTCTCTTTCTGTGGGTAACTCGGGCATTTCCCCATTTAAATCGCTGCCTGGCTCTGGGCTTTCCTCCCCCTCTCATTCCCCATCTTTATATTTCAGAATCACAACATGGAGTCGTGTTACTAATGCATGATTCTGTGGTGCATTTCGAGTATTTAAAGTTGCTCTTTGAGTGATGGTCTCCTGTGATGCCACATCTGTTCCGAAGGACAGAATAGACTCCGGCGTCTGTAAAGCTCCTTACTCGCTGGCAGAACTTCTGCCGCCCCCAGAAAAAGTCTGGGAAGGAGCCGAGATCAGGAAGATGCTGCCGTTCGCTCACAGCCATGCCAAGCGGCTCCTGCTCCGCTCCACGCTGGGCTCGCTCTGGCTCCTCGAGCCCGTGTTTTAATGAGCTGGAGTTACTCCCCTTGACTTTCCGGAGAAGTTCATTAATGACTTACCACGTATTCTTTGAGTGAAGCCAACATTGGCAGTTTACTTACTCTCCAGGGTTGCTGAGAAGGAGGGTCACTCATTTCTTTTGTGTGTGAAATCTACAGCACTTGCTGTTGTTGTTGTTGTTGTTATGTGCCGTCGAGTCGTTTGTGACTCATAGCGACCCTCTGTACAACAGCCCTAAACCCTGCTCTATCCTGTGCCAATCGCACTGCCTCCGACACTCCCACTCCGATTACCCCAGTCACTGAATCAATCCACCTCATAGAGGGTCTTCCCCTCCTGCACTGTTCCTCCACTCTACCCAGCATGATGTCCCTCTCCAAAGACCTGTCTCTCCTTGCAACATGTCCGAAGTATGTCAGGCAAAGCCCCAGAATCTTTACCTCCAAGAAGTAGCCTGGTTTAACCCTCTCTAGGATGAATCTGTTTGTTTTCTTGGCAGTCCATGGTACATTCAAAACATTCAATGCTACAGCACTTAGAGACAGTAATTATGATAATATTATAAGGAAAGCATTTTCCCTATTTTATGTATCATTCTGATTTTTTAAACAGACCCACTTGTAAATATTTCTTTGAGTTGTTTGCAATTGATGGTCACCCTCCACTGAGCTTAAAACGGTATCAGTCTTTTTTTAACATTTTTTTATCATTTTATTTTTGTGTGTGTGTTCCATCAAATCAGATATGACTAGTATTGGAGGAGACTGCTCCTCCTTCTCCAGCAGAGCGGTGGACTTGAACTGTGTACCCCTGGGATTGCAGTGCAGCTTCTTGCCACTAAGCCACCAGAGCTCCCTTAAAATGGTGTCGATCTTTACAGGAGGAAACTGCCCATCTTTCCCTATCAGAATAGCCCATGAATTGGAACAGCCAACCTTTTGATTAGTAGCCCAATATGTTACATATTATGCTCCTTTAAAATATACCCTTCTTCATTTCTCATTGCCATTGAATCAAAAAGGACTCGCAGCAGATCCTCCTTTGGATATGTGAGGCCGTAACGTGTATGGGTGGGAACTGCTCATCTCTTTCCCTCAGAGCAGCCAGTGGATTTGAACCACCACAGAAGCATGGTTTTACAATTAGCATTGCAGTGCCTTATGGACTAGGCTACCAGAGGTCCCTTTTAAGTATACCAGGATGTCTAGAAGAAAAGTTTGCAGCCCTGGAATAATAGCACAACTTTTCAGAGCAATAATGGGTTTAGAGAAACCAGATTTTAGAAATACACGGAAAATAGTAGACGGAGAAGACAGGCACACTGATGGCTGATGCTTAGTGCTACTTTTGATGTAAATTAGTGAGAGAACAATGAAAAAATCTTAATACAGGTTAGCAAAGGAATCAGATGTATGAAGGGACAAATAAAAGTATGTATTACAGTATCAGGGCTAAGATTACAGATGAATGATACCTATTCTTTTCAGAAGAAGGTGTGTATAAGGTGAAAAAAAAATTAAGCAATTACTTTAAGGATAAAGAAGGAATAATAATGTGTCTGCCCTGCAGTGTAAAGGATGGAAGACTTAAATGAATGAAAGAAGATTGAAGAAAGGAGGTTGTGTTTAAAATGGGCTTTAAAAGATGAATGAGATTTATCCAGAGAATTGGCAAAGACTATACAGAGGAAACAGAATCATCAGAGCCAGGAAGGTATTAAAAAATACATAGACATATGAGGAGGATTTGAAAATGGGAATGATGAGAGAAATACTGGCCTGCTAGGATTCAAACAAAGGCAGCAGTGAAAACACTGCTAGACTGGATCATGGGAGGGGAAAGTAATCAACTATAACTCCCTGGGTCTCGACTGCTTTACGTTGTCTTCTGAACATACGTAGCATTTTTAAATATAGGGATTTAAAATTTACTACTAATAAAATATTTATTTTTACACAAAATATGTACATGATTGAGAAGGCACTAATATCATTCTCACAGCTGTGCACAGGTTTTAAAAGGCACATCATGAGATTCAAGTCAACACATCTGACTTTATTTATTCTCCACTTTCTCCAACTGGAAACAAAGAACCTGAAAAAAAGAAACTCCGGCAGAGCCTTGCCCACCCTGCCACCAGACCCACAGATGAAATGCACAGGTCCTCTGCTTTTCTCTGTCTCCTCTTCAAGGACACCATGCGATTCTCTAGAATTTAGGGACATAATTTCCAAGGGAGGAAAGTTTTCTCTGAAGGGTCAGCACCTCTCACACAGGTCTCTGAGGGATAGATTCACGTTTGTGAGAACATCTATTTTTACCTCCGATGGCCCTTAATCCACAGATAATAGAACCAGACGGTTTGTACTCAACACAGCTTAAATCTCCAATTGTTCTTCCTTTGGATGCTATATCTGGATGCAGGAGCATTTCCCGCCTCCCCCGCCCCAGGAGGGACAGCCACATGCTTGCAGGGGTGGGCTGAGAGGTGGAAAACAAGGCAAAATGGTCCTGGTAACTGGAAAGCTCTCTATCCACTGGCATTTAAAAAAAAATCTCGAAATAAGTGAATGAATTAATTAATAAATGAATGAGTAAATGAAATTTAAAGTTTTGATGGTTTTTTTTTTTTTAGAGCCTAACTATCAATGAAAGATTGTCCAAAAATGGGTTAGAGACAGAGGGAAATGAGCAATAGTAGCCCATCTGTGTCAATGTCTGAGCCCGCTATGGACCCTATTGCTTCTGCAGCAGAGGTCCCTGGAAGGGGCAACACCTAGACATGACCAGGAGGCCAAGGGGCCTAATTTAGAGGCAGAATAAGTCAGGCTCCATGTGTAGCAGCTCCACACACACCCAGCTGCAAGAGCGGGTCATTTCAAGTGTGTCTCCCTCTGTCCTCTGTCCACCTCTACTGTCCGCCTGCCTCCATCACGCAGTGGATCTGGCCTTCCCCTCCCCACCCCAGCACCTTCACTCTTGTGCATGAGGCCATGTTGTTCTTGTGTGTCCTCAAGTCAGAACTCCCACTTAACCAGACTCTTCCCTGGGTTGTCAGAGGCTGTGAATCACATGGGAGGAGACTGCCCATCATTTTCCCTGCAGAGCAGCTGGTGGATTTGAACCTCAAACCTTTGTTTAGTAGTACAACTCCTTACTGCAAGGTACGTGAGGGCAGACTCTACTCTTTAGTCCCTGCACCTCCACGGAGTGGCAGGCAGGTTTTTGTCCCGGGGACATAAAAAGACTAGAACAGGCCTACGGTGCTTAGCTAGCTGGTGCTCTATGCACCATCGCCATTGGCTTTAAAGTGCTCTCCCCTCTTTGGCATCTAGGAATGTACTTAATAAATGTTGCCTTTTGCTGTTGTTCTTAGTAGTAGTTTGAGAGCGTAACAATGTTGCATAAACCCGAAGGCGGAAATTGTGGAAATAATTTGTTTTGGGGGATATTGATCCATTTTTAACATTAAGAAAATGTCAACCCTCCTCTCCACATCTGTTGACTGAGGTAAATAGATTAACACAAAAGGCTGTTCTGAACACAGTTAAAGTCAATCTGTATTTTATCAGGGCAACATCTATTTATAGGACATTGTTTATGTGCAAAAAAAAAAAATCATTACCTAGGTGTTAGAAAAAACAGGTGGGGCAAGTATTGCTTTTGTGAACCCGTGAATGGAAACAAGCAGTTTATGATTGACAGCTCACTCTGAGGATTGTGGTTCAAGTCCCCCCATAGAAAAAAGGCCTGATGATCCGCTTTTGGTAAAGATTAATCCATGACCATCTTTTGTCAACGTTCACCCAGGGCCAGTGCTGGTAAAACAAACCCCTTGTCACTGAGCTAATTTCCAGTCCTAACTCTAAAGAACAACACAGAACTCCCTTCTGGCACGTGCAAGGCTGTAAATCTTTATGAGAGTGGCCTCACTTCCTCCCATGGAGCAGTCGTGAGGTTCAAGGGGCCAACCTTTCATCAGCAGTCAATGCCTTAACCACAGTACTCTCAGAGATCCCTGCCAAGGTTCCATAGTGTAAGACTTACGATGTCTGCTTTTCATGCAGAAGGGCCTGGTTCTCACGTCTTCTCTTCACGCAGAAGGACCCAGTGGAACTCTGACAGAGCTGGCCTAAAGGTTACAACTGCAAACAGCCCTATGGAGCTCTTCTATTACGTATGACATGGGTCAAAACTGACAAGACAGCAGCGAGTCTGGAGTTTTGTGTGGGTGTTAGATGAAAGGTCATTCAACTGCGGTTAAGGAGGGAAGAGACTGTTTTTACAAATAAACATATGTAAATAATTTGGCAAATAAACGTATGTAAATAATTTGTACACTAACTTTGGACCCAAATTAAATAAAATATTATCACCCTCAAAAAAGAAAAGAATCATTTCATTCTTCTTAATGCCATTGTTGTTTGATGCCATTGAGGCTACCGTGATATATGGTGACCCTCTGAACAACAGGGCTGAGCTGTACCCTGTCCTGTAGCAATCCCACAATCTCCAATATGTTCAGGCCCAGTGTTCTACAGTTGTATTTTTAAAAAATACAAAAGTAATTTATTGTTATATTTTAATTGTGTCAATAAGAACTTGGCAGAAATTTTTCATCTGTCATGTAAGCATCTATTAAATATTTTCAGGTTTGTTCTTTGATACTTGTCTTACAAAAACGAGAATATTTACGATCTCGTCCTTTCCCAAAGTACGGGATCCTGTGTTTGATCCAAATCCCTCAGTGATTGGAATGCCACAAGATAGGCAGAGCTGACCCCAGAAGCTCACTCTACCTGGGGACCTTTTTCCTAGGGATGTGGGAGATGAAGTGTGCGATGGGAATATAGACACTTTGCTATCAAAATATCTGTTGAAGACTTATCTGTGCTATGCAGATGACACAACCTTGCTTGCAGAAAGTGAGAAAGATTTTAAACACTTGCTGCAGATAATCAAAGACTACAGCCTTCAATATGGATTACATTTCAGCAAACAAAAATCTGTACAACTGGACCAACAGGCAATATCATGACAGATAAAGAAAATACTGACATCCTCAAGGATTTCATTATATTTGGATCCACAATTAACATACCTGACAACAGAAGAAATCAACAGATAGGTCTCACTGGAACAATCTGCTCTGTAACACCTCTCTAAAGGGCCAGAGATCAATGATGTCACTTTAAAAACCAAGGTGCACCTGATTCAAGCCATGGTATTTTCAATCCCTTCCTATGAATCTGAAAGTTGGTCAATGAATAAGGATAAGAGAGGAAGACTTGATACTTTGTACTGTTGGCAAGATGTCCCACGAACTGCCAGAAGAACAAACAAATCTGGTTTGAAGAAAGTGTAACAAGAGCAATCCTTAAAAGCAAGGATAGAGCAATCCTTAAAGGCAAAGATAGAGCAATCCTTAAAGGCAAGGACAGGGCAATCCTTGAAGGCAAGGATAGGGCAATCCTTGAAGGCAAGGATAGGGCAATCCTTAAAGGCAAGGATGGTGAAATGAAATCCTACTTACCTTAAATATATTATCAGGAGAGACTAGTTACTGAAGTTAAACATGATGCTGGGAAAGATAGAGTATCAGTAAAAAAAGAGGAAAACCCTCCACTAGATGGACTGACACTGACTTCCACAATGGGCTTGAGCACAACAGAAATCCTGAGCTTAGTTGAAAGCAGAGCATGGTTCACATCAGTGTTCACAGGGTCACTGTGAGTCATAGTCAACCTGATGGTACCTAACGACACGATACACAGTGACCCTAGGTGTGCCAAACATCAGAACGTTTTCAGTGGCTAGCTTTTAGAGGGCTCTGGTGTCCTCGTGCATAGAGAATTGAGCTGCGAATCCAAAAGACTTATGGTTCAAATGCACCAGTCACTCTGCAGGAGACAGATGCAATCTCTTCCCAGTCAATGCACAGCCTCTGAAAACCCAGTGGATGGGCAGCTATGAGTGGGTTCCATCGCAATGCAGATTGAGAGTTGATTTTTAAAAAATTTTTATGTTTATTAATTTTAATGAAAATTTACAGACACTCAGGGTTTCCAGTCATTCATTGTTGTACTCTTCTCCCTGCCCACCCCCTCTCCCCAATTCACTCTTCTCCTTGAAAAGAAAAAGAAAAACTCTTTCATTGTTAAGCAATCTCTCCCCCCAAGTCCACTCCACTATGCAGCCTTCACTCTGGACTTCTGTAATAACAAGACTGGGTTTATATATCCTTTTTAAACCGTTCTCTCCCTCATCTGTTTCAATGTAATATACATCATTCCTCCCCTCCTTTTCTGTCTTCCCTCAACGCTGATGTCAGTCCCGTTTTACAAGTGGCCCTATGCAATATTTGTCCTTTTGTGACTGAGATATTTCCCTCAGCATAATGTCCTGCAGAGTCACTCATTTTGCATATTTCATGAGTTCCTTGATTTTCAATGCTGCAGAGAGAGTTGCATTTTTTAGAAGTGACTCTCCATGTCTTTCTTTCTAGATGCCTTTGATGTCGTCAAATTTCCAACCTTTCTGTTAGGCACCAAGCACATAGCCATTTACACCATCAGGGACTCCTCTTTGCTCTCAGAATCCACTAATTGTCACCAATGTTTTAAATGATGATTTTTTGCCCTGCTCCCCTTCTGATTATGTTTTTCTAACCTTTCAAGAGGATAAAAACAAAGTACAGTTGCCATCTTGTGATTTAAGCTTTTCTAGCTACTCACTGCAGCCCAGGAAATAGTCCTGAAAACAGGGACATCTCTGGGTCACATTTTCGCTTTTTTTTTTTTGCCTTTTTACTGGAGTGATTTGTAAACTCACAGACCTGCAGGGAAAAGAGTCTGACAGCAAAACAGGAGGAGACCAGACGGCCAGAGGCTCTGGGGCTAAGCTCTGCTGACCATGGATATCTGCGTTTATTTACACATCCACCTCCAAGGAGAGCAGTACACCAGTCAGCCAAGGTGTCCTTGGGCTCCCCACCCAGGCGGAGCTGCTCACTGACCTTCCGTGTACAGGCCGATGGCTGTCCTCCCCTCCCTTCAAGCCTCCTTCTCTGCCCGCGCCAACCACCTCATCCTGCCTCAGCCCACAGTCTCCATAATTGATTTCTCTTCCTTTCTGCTTTAACCCAGAGCCACCCCCCACAAACCTCCAATCACCAGGTCCCTGTGGGTCACCGGAGACGTTCAGGTTGTCTGACAGCTTAATTAGATCACTGTTTGATGACAGCCGGCTGGCTGCTGGGTGAAGGGCTTAGGGCCTGAACGAAAGGTGCCACCAACAGTCTTTCTCTGTCTTATAAACACTTGTCAATACTTGTACGACTTCTGTCCTTCAGGATGGGGCGAGATCATGGCCCACTCCCCTGTGACATGTTCTCCACATGTGGATAAGGTGTGTCAAGACCTTACAGGATCCAGGCTGCTGTGCCTATGTGTGTCTTTATGAAAATAAATTTCACTTATTTCGTTGCAGAGGTAAAATATGCACATAATACTGACTTCAAAACTCACAAAAGGTCATGCAGCAATAAATCAGTTTCCCTCCCACCTTGCCCTTGGCCTTCAGGGTAGCGCTGATTTATGCCACTAACCTACACTGTCTGACTTTGCCCCAGCGATTCCAATTATGAAACCCCTGTATTGTTTGCATGTGACATTATTGGTTTTTTTAATGGGTCTTTTATTTCAGATGGCTGAATAAGAACGGGATTCAAGAAATACACAATTGTGCATTCAATGGAACCCAACTAGATGAGCTGTGAGTAGTCCTGACTATGCTTCCAAGTCATTTAGGGGGAAATGGCTCTTCCGACAGACATGTTTACATGGCTTTGTGTTTCTCTTCTCTTTTCCTCAACTTCCTTCGCAGGGATCTAAGTGACAACAGATATTTGGAAACATTGCCTAGTAACATTTTTAAGGGAGCCTCTGGACCTGTCATCCTGTGAGTAGCTTCCTTCATTTCTGTGAGCAAGAGCTGTGTGTGTGTGTGTGTGTGTGTGAGAGAGAGAGAGAGAGAGAGAGAGAGAGAGAAAGAGATCAACTGTCTTTAACTCTGAGATGTTTCCACAACACAGTGCCTGCAAATATGTACAAGGACTTATAGGGACAATGTGATATGGAGCCACATTCCAAATTTTAATAAGGTAATAATGACATCAGTAATAGCAGTTAACAATGACTGAACTCTAACCACGTATCCATGTACTAAGAGTACACAATGTATATTGGAGGGCTGTGTATTTTTTTAATTTAATCTTCCTAATAATTCCCTGGAGCTCCAGTGACACAGTGCTAAGGACCAATGGGGCTGCCAACCCGAAGGCCAAGAGTTTAAATCCACCAGCTGCTCTGGTGCAGAAAGATGGGCACTCTCATCCTACAGAAAACCCACGGAGGGTTCAACTGAATCTTGGTTCCAACCCAACAGCACATAGCAACCACCACAGTCCTCTGAGGTCCGTGATGGTAGCTGTTGTGAGGGGCCATCAGTTCAATATGACTCACAGAGACCCTGTGAACAAGAGATCTGAACCCTGTCCTATCCTGTGCCGTCCTCATCATCTCCGACACGCTTGAGCCCAACATTCCCACAGTATGTGAGATCAAGCTTGGTGATCTTCCAAGCTTCCAAGGAGCCTGCTGGCTGTACTTTCTCCAAGGCATTGTCCTTCAGACAACTCATGGGATAATCAGTTGTTTTGTCCAATATCACAACTCAAAGACATCAATTATTCATCTGCCGACTCTCAACAGATGGTTCTTGACAAAGCATGAGAAACTGTGGAACATAATACACCTTAAAACTCCAGACTTACTGAACCCAAGAGATGAGAGGACAACCTGTGACTATTATCCTGACACTTGAACCCAACAGCAAAACAAACTATCCTCTGAGGTCACCTTTTAGTACAATAAGAGGCTGACACACAAAAGAAAAGATATTACTTGAGAGTATTGTGCTTCAGCAATGACTAGATTGCAGGTGGGCTGAGGGGAGGAGGCAGGGAAGCAAGAGCTCTGGAAATGAAATCAGAACAAGCAGGAGAGAACTGAAATACTGTGGAAAATGCAACTAACCTCACTGAACAATGTGTGTGCAGTCACTGCTGTGTACCACTGAGTGCAACTCACAACTGTCGCTCTACTCGGTTTTCAAAGGCCATCAGTGGTGCAGGAGAAGATGTGTCCATCTTCTTCCAGGATACCAGCGGGTGGATTCAAACTCTGTGCTTTGGGGTTGTCAGCACCAGACCTTACCACTAAGCCACCAGAGCTCCCTGACCATTTGTGTAGAAATCATTAAATGGGATGTTCTAGGCTGGTTTTTTAAAACAATATTTATAAAGCAAATTAGGTTCCTACTTTGTAATTTGAACAACTGGTGTAGAAATTATTAGATAGGAACCTAATTTGCTTTGTAAATTTTCACTGAAAACACAATGAAGTATTGTTTCGAAAAAATAGCCTCCAGGAGCTCTGGTGGCCTAGTGGCAAGAAGCTAAACTGTAATCCCAGAGGTACAAGGTTTGAATCCACCAGATGCTCTGCTGGAGAAGGAGGGACAATCTCCTCCTGTAGCAGTCAGATCTGATTTGATGATACACAAACACAAAAAATATAATAAAATATTAAAAAAAAGAAAAGAAAAACAGCCTCGAGATTTCACACAATCCAATGACTTCCGGAGATCTGCTCGCGTATTTGTTTTGGGTGGTCATTGTCTCTGTTCTAGAAGCCTTGAGAGTCGTTCAGTGTCTCATAATCTACTGCCTCTCACAGTCACTTCCTTACCTCCTACCCTCCTCTGCCTCTGTGAGTGGCTTTCACTCGAGTCTCCCTTGCTTCAGATTATTCCATGCTCCGCTCCCTCTTCAATTTTTCCCAATAATCAATCATCCATGTGCCTAGCTTCTATTATTTAAATCTTAAATATTTATTTAATTGTATTTGATAGTCTTTGAAGTTGATAAAAGAAAACCTATTGCCTCATTAAACAGATACTTACTGAGCACTAGCTCTGTGCCATTGACTTGTACAGAAGAGGAAACCCAAGACATTTCTTCTCCACAGAAATCTAACCGTGTCAGACAGTAAGGAACCGTACAGCTTCATATATCTGTGATTTGAAGGACGAGGCGGGATTCGGACACAGAATGGGAAATCACGGGCACGCCGTACATGTGTTCATATGTACAGAGTTCTTACTGTTGGTAGGTGCCGTCAAATTGGCTGTTCACTCACAGTGACACTGTGAACAGCAGAACTGGACCCTGCCCTACCCTGTGCCAGCTTCCCCTGTGCCACGTCTGAGCCCACTGTTAAGGGCTCAGTCTCAATCCATCTCACTGAGGGTCTTCCTCTCCTTTACCAACGCTCCTCTTTTCCAAGAAGGATGTCCTTCCCCAGGGACTAGCTCCTCTTAGCCCAAAGTATGTGAGACCTCGGGCTCCCTCTAAGGAGTACGGTGCCTCCTCTCTCTTCAAAACATATTTGGTTGTTAGACTGTGCAATCCTCAGAATTTCCTCTTCTTAGAGTTCTCAGGAGACATGGATTTAAAGGAAGTTCATCTGATGTCTTTGCTCACTAGGACACACGTGTGCCAGTTTTACCTAGAAACAAATGCTAAGGATTTTGAATGAGTTTTTTTATTAATGATTTTTAATTTCTATTATTATTATTATTGAAAATTTATAGAGACTTTGGATTTCCATTCATTTATTGTTGCACTTTTCTCCTTGCCCACTCCTCCCCCTCCAAGTTCACTCTTCTCTTTGAAAAGTAAAATTCTTTCATTGTTATTCTATCTCTACCCCCAAGTCCACTCCACTGTGCAACCTTCATTCTGGACTCCTGTCATGACAGTAATACCTAATCATACATTCCTTTAAAACAGTTCTCTCCCTCATCTGTTTCAATGGAGTACACGTAATTTAGCCCGTCTTTCTCAGTCTCCCCCTAACTCTGATGTCAGTCCTGTTTTACAACAGTGGCCCTACTCAGTGATTTTTTTTAATGCAACATATGTATTTTATACAGCACATTCTTTCCATTTCATTTCCCCCCATTCATTCATTGTTGCAAATTTTCCTCCCTGCTCCCCACCAGTTTAAATCATCATCTCTGTCTCATCAGGGCTGAATCTATCTGTAATGGAGAAGTTCTCCTTATAGGACCTGTGCCAGGTACAGTGATGGATTGAAAGCACTTCAGGTTGCTGTCTACAGCAGAACATGTTTGTGCCAAACAGGACCTTCAACTTGCCCATTATGAGCTGTATGCTGAAGTCAAGGCCCAGGAACGGAGGGGACTTGTGGAAGATGACGTAACACTTGTAGACTGAAAAGCATGGAGCGATCTAGGCCTCCTGGGTCACAGCTTCACGCATTTCCAATTCCCGTGTCACCTAAGGTGTGTGAATATGTTTAATCAGACATCTGAATGTTTTTCGGTAAGGTTCCCAGCAACAGGTTGTGAATGGAGATCAAAGGGTCTAAGACTGAACACTGCAGCCCAGCCTGACAAACAGCATAAGCCGTTGACATGCACAGCGGAGAACCTGCCTCCTCAGAGTCCAAAACCGGGTCCCGGGCCAAGCACAGTAAAATGTGTCTCAAAAGACTACTGAACGGCTTTCTATGAAGATGGCGCCAAAAGCGAAGAAGGAAGCCCCTGCCCCTCCCAAAACTGAAGCCAAAGCAAAGGCATTTAAAGGCATTAAAGGCCAAGAAGGCGTCCTGAAGGGCACCCACAGCCCCCCCCAAAAAAATGATCCGCACGTCACCCACCTTCCAGCGGCCTAAGACGCTGAGACTCTGAAGGCAGCCCCAATACCCCCCAGAAGAGCACCCCCAGGAGAAACAAGCTTGACCACTCTGCCATCATCAAATTTCCCCTGACCACTGAGTCAGCCATGAAGAAGACAGAACATAACAACACACTTGTGTTCATTGTGGATGTCAAGGCCAACAAGCACCAAATTAAACAAGCTGTAAAGAAGCTCTATGACATGATGTGGCCAAGGTCAACACTTTGATTAGGCCTGATGGCAAGAAGAAGGCCTATGTTCCACTTGCTTCTGACTATGACGCTTTGGATGTTGCCAACAAAATTGGGATCATCTAGACTGAGTCCAGCTGGCTAATTCTAAATATAAATTTTTCTCACAAAAAAAAAAAATTTAAAAAAAAAGACTGTTGAATGGAGAACACAAAACATGAATCCCCCAGGCAGCTCATGGAGAATACAGGAAGAAGAGGGCTGTCACCATCAGAAACAGTCCTGTGGCTGGAGGTTACCTCCCTAGGGACCCAACTGTCCCAGGGACCTACCTACTTTCATCCCTCGCATTACAGGACTATATCTGGCCAGAATTGAGTGCATGCAATTTGTAGAAAAATTCCAAGGAAGTGTGGTGCAATTCCAATGACTGAGAAGGGTAGAGAATCAGATACCTCCCTACACTTTTCCATCTTTAAGAGGACATACCTGCAAGTCATTTCCAAAAGCCCGGTTCACATATGCTAACTGAATCCTCCACCTCTCAAAGACACGACAGCAGACCACCTTACTGCCAGTCCTCTCTTTCTATGACTTTCAGATGGCTCTGCAGATGGCTTTCCAGCATTTCCGTTTGCTGCCATGGGACTCCAGGGTCTGTCCTATTTCCCACGTGCACGCTGCTTGCTGCTCCAGTCCCAGCTGAATCCTTGGGTGGGAGCTGCTTTATCTAAATGGACAGAGGACAAGTCCAGTTAACTGAGTCAGCGAGCAGATGGCCCAGCCCTTAGTCGATGAAGCTCCAGACAGGACTGTGACTGTGGGTCAGTTCCTCTACTCTCCAAAGAAGATGCTGCAATGGCTCTGGAGATGTGGAGATTTTGTTGATTTGTTGAAGAATGTTGGCTAGAAGAAGTTGAACTGCAATGAATTTGCAACAGATA